ACGAAGAAGAAGAAGAGTACGAAGAAGAAGAAGAGTACGAAGAAGAAGAAGAGTACGAAGAAGAAGAAGAGTACGAAGAAGAAGAAGAGTACGAAGAAGAGTACGAAGAAGAAGAAGAAGAAGAGTACGAAGAAGAAGAAGAAGAAGAAGAAGAAGAAAATAATAATAATACATAATAATAAGTTTCCTTGTAGCATGTAAAACAAGCCTCAGTCCACCCCTGACAGTGAAGTGATAAGATGACATAACATAAGATAAGAGTTGACATTTGACGAGCATTGGCCCTCTCTCTGTTTTTGCTGGTACACAAACATGTGTCTGTCTATCCGTCTAGCTCTCTGTCTCAGAGAGAGCCACAAGACTGCATCAGAAAGTTTACTCATATCTTCAGGCAGAGTATAGCACTTTGTCTGGATTTTTTGGGTTACCCTACGTAATTTACACTATGTATACTTGTATTTATGTGTACCTGTGAGACAGAGATAGACAGAGACAGATAGACAGATATAGACAGAGACAGAGATAGATATAGACAGAGACAGAGATAGATATAGACACAGACAAACAAATGGAGTCAGGCCACCATCAGCCGGCCAGCCACGCAGGTGGCTAGAGAGGTGTCCAGCCAGCCAGCCAGCCAGCCAGCCAGCCAGCCAGCCAGCCAACCAACCAGCCAACCAACCAGCCAGCCAACCAGCCAGCCAACCAGCCAGCCAACCAGCCAGCCAACTAGCCAACCAGCCAGCCAACCAGCCAGCCAATCAGCCAGTCAGCCAGCCTGCTGAACAAGTATTACAATCCAGAATTGCTTCTCTTTACTTAGGGCATAGGTTATAAGATATTCTGAAAGGGTGTTGCACAAATGTTGCACATGGGTTATTATCGAGGCTTTTTGATATTTCCTTGACCACTTATGGCCACATTCACCTCAAAGCCATTAAACTTGGGGTCAACATCACTTTCCTCTTAAAATGGAAGAGTTAATACTACACGAAATCAGTGAATCCCAGGTGTCTGCTGCGCTGTTTGCTCTAGCTGGCGCTCATTTGAACTGGTGCTCCCACAAGGTACTAAGTGGTCCCAGATTTTTTTAATACAGTGCACAATGAGTGTTAAGACCCATTCTATGCTGCCAAGGCATCTCAAGCCAATCGTGCCATATTTGAAGGCAGGAAAAATAAAACATTTATATACGTTTGGGGCACTAGTGGTAAGAACATATATATACGTTTGGACTGTTTATGGGTTAATTCTATTGTCTTTTTTATATTTTGGTCTTCTAACACTATGCACAAGGAATACCTATAATACTGCAGGGAAATAAGTCATACTGTTTGACTTTACTAAGTTATCCTGGGTTAAATATACTTAAGGTGCTTTGTGGCTGAATTCCACTGTTAGTATCATGAAATAGTAATAAATTTGGAATGAATAAGTCATCTTTGTGCCATTTGCACACAATGCTTGTAGTGAAGCTGGTGATGCAACAACACCTGGTTTCATTGTATACTTTGGCTAGTCAGGCACACTAGCATGTTGGACACACAGTCATGATTTGTGCAGTTAACCATGATACACTGTGTGGACCTTTCCTCTTTGTGTATTCTACAATCTCCACATATCTTTTTCAAAAGTATCAAGAAATTGAAGAACACTCAGAGTTGTCCAGGGGTCCAAAATATTGGCAGGTGGCAGAACTGAAGGAATGAAAATCTGTGCAAACTAGTACAGTAAACCCTCAGTTTTCATAATTTATCCGTTCCAGAAGGTTGGCCTAAATCCAAAACGGCTGAAAACCAAAGTAACATTTCCCATAAGAAATAATGTAAATCCAATTAATCCGTTTCAGACACCCAAAATTATTAACAAAAAATACATTGCCTGCACTTTAAAGGAGGGGTTTCGGATATTGACAGTTTGGAGGGACTTCTAAACTGCCGTATCTGAGCGACTCTGCAAAAATAGTGATTATGTACGAGTGAGGTGAAAGTGTTGAATGATGATGAAAGTATTTTCTTTTCGGGGATTTTCTTTCTCTTTGGGTCACCCTGCCTCAGTGGGAGACGGCCGACTTGTTGAAGAAAAAAACTATAGTTTTACATACAGAAACCAATGAGAAATAAATATAAATGACTAATTTTAATGATAAATGAACATTACAGACCTTTACTGAAGACTCTTGTTGGTGAGTAGTATTTATTTGTAGTCCCAGAGGGACTACATCCCAGGTGTATAGCTACATACACTGCGGCCTACAGCCATATTATTACCATCGACATACCATGTTCACTGAGTTTAATCGTTTCTAACAACTACCTTTAGATGCCATCATAAACAAAGGGAGAAATAATGAATAAATCATGCCGAGAATTGTAAACAAAAGCCTTATGTACTATTAAGGGTGTTTATTGGGCCAACACAGATTCATACACGTTTTCTCTGGAGCTGGACCAGAGAAAATGTAATATTTACCCTCCACTTGACCCCACCCTTTGATAGCATATAAACACTGCATGTTTATATGCTATGTAATGTGTTTCTTGTGGCATAATTTTGAAGAAAATATCATAGTTGGATTAATGAAAATGTCTATATTAACCTAAAATAAGACATTTAATGTGCCCAAGAGTGGTTATTATCAAACATACATCACATATAAACATTGCATGTTTATATGCTATGTAACGTGTTTCTTACATAATTTTGAAGACAATATCATAGATGGATTAATGAAAATGTCTACATTAACATAAACTAAGACATTTAATGTGCCCAAGATTAATCATTATTAGTACTATTAGTATTATTATGGTGTTAAGACTAGAAGGACACTCTTAGTGAACGAGTAACAAAGGCATATTTATGTGCTATGTAACGTGTTTCTTACATAATTTTGAAGAAAATATCATAGACAGATTAATGAAAATGTCTATATTAACTTAAAATAAGACATTTAATGTGCCCAAGAGTGAGTCACGAACGTATGAGCAGCCCAGGTGGATGTGTCTGGTACCATCAATTTCCGAGCCAATGTACAAAACCAGGGGGAAAATTTCGCCAAAAAAAGTGCTCAAAATCCGAACTGAACGATTTCTGCACCAGCCAAAAACCAGGGGTCCACTGTATATTGGTTTCACAGGCCATAAAAATTACTTGAAAAAAATAAATAATTAGAAAAGCAAAGAAAAAATAGAATACAACTAAAAAAAAAAAATAGAGTGAGCAGCAGTTACCAACGTTACTGTCAGCCAGTCACTCACTGTCAACTTCACGCCTCTATATCTTGGTAAGTACTGGAGAGTTTACCTGGAGAGAGTTCTAGGGGTCAACACCCCCGCGGCTCGGTCTGTGACCAGGCCTCATGGTGTGACCAGGCAATTTTTTTTTTTTGTGTCATTACACCCACAAAAACATTCCGACTAGTTATGAAAGAAAATACAGATTTTTTTTTAATTCTTCAACCCTGAGAGCAAGTCTGCGAGCAGGGGTCTCGACCCCTCAAAGGGTTAATGCATATATTTTTGTTGAATAAGACACATGTGCAACACCTGGATATTTACCTTGTAAAGATAACCAGATGCTGCACGTGTCTTATTCATTAACTTATCAGTATTGTATCCCATTAACATTATAACAACTTTTTTGTAGAGAAAGTAAAGGCAAATGCCTAATTTGCCCAGATACAGAAGATAAATAGTCAACATAGTGAAAAACTCTTATTTTTCAAGGTACAGCATTCTCCCCAATTCTCGCATATTTTGCATCTGACATAGACAATTATAAAAACCATAACACTGTAACATCCTTCACAAACCATACTGTATGTATGCCATACTAAAACATTTAAAAGATGTCTCCTTAACAAATATCTTAATACCAAACAATTTTTTTTCAATAAACTGGTGTCTATCTCAAATTTCCAGGTTGTTGTAAATGAGGTTTTAGAGAAGGCCATAGATAACAGTGTGACATTAAATAATAATTAATTACAGTTACTCCATCTTCGAAAATTAGAAAAATTAAAATGATAGAAACACAAAAGGCAATCAAAGTCCTCAATCAAGCAGAAGAAGAATGTAAGAGACCTAGGAGTAATCATTTTGCAATATCTTAGTCAAGATACTCTTAAAAGAACAAAGAAAATAATGGGCTATACAACAAGAATCTTCAATGCAGAGAGATGAGAAGCCTATGATGATATTCTTCAAGGTGCTAAAATATTAATTTATAGCAAAAACCTCTTTAGCAGTAGGCAAAATTGCAGACCTGGAGAATATACAAAAAACTTTTCCCTGCTCATATCTGTTCAAATTTGTAGTTTCTCCAAGCCAGTCCTCTATAGCCAAGTTATGATACCTATGATCAGAGAGCAAGCAACACTAGCCTGACTAACCAGACCAGAATCCAGGCTGGTTGCTGGCAGATAACAACCATCCAGGAAGGTAGTAGGCTAGGAGATAGCAATCATCCAGGAAAGTAGTAGGATCTTAGATAGCAACCATCCAGGAAGGTGGTAGGCTGGTAAATAGCAACCATCCAGGAAGGTAGTAGGTTGGTAGATAGCAACCATCCAGGAAGGTAGTAGGCTGGTAAATAGTAACCATCCAGGAAGGTAATAGGCTGGTAGATAGCAACCATCCAGAGAGGTACTATGTGTATTCAATATGTACTTATATTTACTGTCTTGTGATGTTTCTCAATATTCATTATCACTCTAAAACTGAATCTCCAATTTAAGAGGCATGTTCTGATACTGGGTTGTGCATGCAATGATTCCCAGAGCAATTAAGAGATAAACAAACCCTAGAAAAACTGGGAATTAATCTGCAGATGTTAATTTTAATGACATGTTCTCTCTGAACTAATTATGAAGAAGCATATTTTACAACAGTATTAACTCTTTCTCTAACTTCTATGCAAAAGTACTCACTCCAAGCATGAAACATGCAGTATTAGATATTTTTAAAGAGTTACAAGACTGCGAGAATATAAAAACATACTTGGTTCATATGGACTGGTTCCTTGGCTAAAAGGGAGGCAAGCATTTTGTTCCTTTCCCATAGTTTTGAAGAGCCCTGGTTGGTTGGACTAACTCCAGGACCTCCATGACCAATGCCCCCACTAGTATTGTTCCCAATAGGGGTTGAAGGGCCATGAGGAGTTGTAGGTCCACCGTGTGGAGTTGAAGGACCTCCATGTGGAGTTGAAGAGCCTCCATGAGGTGTTGATGGACCACCATGAGGTGTGGAAGGTCCCCCATGTTGGACAGGTGCAGGACTCATAGAGCTGGCAGGAGGTGATGGACCCAACAGACTCTCAAATGCACCCATCATCTGCCACACAATTGTAATAATATACAAACTGCTCAAAATGTGCAATTATTACTTACAGGACATTTTATTCCACAAATTTTTTCTTTGAATGACTAGGCACATTAACAAATGAATGTTTTAAATTTATACCACTTCAAAATTTTCCAATAATTCACAAAGTTTTCAAGTTACCTGTTTGCTAGGATTGCCATCGTGAGCTTCATCACTAGGTCGTTTGATACCCCTTAACATGGTGGATGCACTCAACATATCTGCACTACGCGGTCTTGGAGGCGCACCAGAATTGGTAGACTGGGATATACTAGATGATGAGGTTAAGGTACTGAGAGTAGAGGGTGACGTAGAGGCGGAATTTGTTGACTGTATACCTCCTCCAGGCCCTTGTGGTTGTCGAAAGTCAGACGTTATGTCTGGCTTCTTTTCGTCTGGGGTATCATTTAGAAGTTCCCAAATATCATCACTACTTTTTCTGTTTTCGTTGTCATCATCATCATTATTCAGGAGCTGAAAATTAGTATAATTTAATTACAAAAAACTTCTTGAAGTTATTGAATTTGAAAAAGACTAATTTACCACATCAGTCTTGTGATACTTACTGTACATTTCTATAATAATCAGCAACCTATTTCATTTAGTTTAGCTTATTAATGTTCAAGGAGTCCCAAACCTCCCTAACTTCTGATTTTTTTTAACACACGGGCGGCCGTCTTCCACCAAAGTAGTGAGATGTGAACAGACAATATAAAAAAATCTATTTGATATGAAAATATATAGTATAGTATTTGAGTTTATCCATCAGGGTCACTTTCATCCCTTTAACTGTGGCTTGCAGACATCATTTTTTATTTTGCTTTTATTACAGAAAGTCAAGTATAATGAAATCTTAAAACCAAAACAAGACATTAATACATTCCCATCGTATGAAGTGAGGATTTTGTGATCCTTAAACCTGGTGAGTGTACCAGGTTCAAGGAAACATTTGCTTATTTTTGTCAGAGGTATTGCAATATTTACACTATACACAAAGGTGTATAGTGTAAATATTTCAATTTCAATAATATGTATTATACATGTTTCACTGAAACAAATGAAACACATAAAAACAAATACCTTTGTAGTGAATCTACAGCTCATCAGTTGTGTAAGAAGCACATTCACAATGTGTTCATATATGTGATAAACATTTTCCTTATAACATTATAAATCAGTTGATGTTTTATCATGCCCGAAAAAATGATACAGCCTCTCCTCACTTAGCGACATACTCATTTACCGATGCCTCTGATTTACGACAGGCTCTCTAACCAGTATTAATACCTAAATAATGTATATTCAAACTGATTTCCTCTATTCTGCTGACTTCAATATAGAGTAAACTACCAGAAATGTTATAAATGGTGCAAAGGTAACATAAAAACAATATCAAACATGGTGGACACAAACTCTCTACCATTATAGTATGCTCCTCACTTAGCGACGAATTCGTTTAACCCGTAAACGGTCCAAGCAGATCTACGTTCACATGTGTAGTGCTACAAAAGTAGATCTACGTTTTTTTTACATATTTTCAAATGTAAAAAAACAAAAAGAAGATCTACTTTTTTTACATACTTTCAAATGTTGAAAAAACGTATATATATACGTTTGGACCGTTTACGGGTTAAAGACTTGGTCTTGAGAACGAAACTCCATCGTTAACCCTTAAACTGTCCAAACGCAGATCTATGGTTTTGCACGTAGCGCTCCAACCTTGATTTTCTCCATAAGAAAGCATGTAAAAAACATAGCTCTACGTTTCGAGCGCTACGCAAACGAACGTAGATCTACATTTGGACAGTTTAAGGGTTAAGTGAGGAGAAGCTGTACATGCAAACGGAATTTTGTGCCCAGCTGTACCACACTAGGAAGGCCTGATGTGCTTCTGCTTGTTCTACACACATTTATCTACTGTCTTCCTCACATCATATATTTCTAACATAGGTTAGACCAAAATTGGAATATGTGATGTCTTTTGCTCTTGCCAGGACTAATTTCATTACAAAGGTTAGGAACCAATATCTTGAGTATATTCCAGTTAGCCCAAGACCAATCGATCGATCAACGATCACTCTTTGTCTCTCTGTCTGTCTCGCTCTCTCTCTCTCTCTCTCTCTCTCTCTCTCTCTGTCTCTCTCTCTGACACTTTCAATATTTTTAATCACACATACCATGCATCACAGCTACACTGAAAACTAAATTTAAAACTAACAAGAGAATTTCATTAAAAATATCTTTATTGGATATCTCCATACCCAAATATCTTAATAAACTGTCTTGAGTACTTCTTTTAAATTATAATAACATGTCTCTTAAATTTTTCAATACATATTATATGATAAAGATGGTAACAAGGAAAAAAATATTACTACTAGTTTCTCACCCAAATAGCACATGGAGTTTTTTCTCTAACAATGATAGGGGAAAACTATCAAATTCCGAAAAGTTTGAATGCCTGAGCTATTTAGGAATAGTCTCCAAATATTTCCAACAAAATACAATGTTTTTTTGTGTTTAGGTATCAGTAAATGTTAAGTACAAATTACCAGAACAATTGCTGCCATGAATCACAACAATACAGAGTATAAACAGTGCTGAGATGCTGCTGTGTAGACACTGTGGTAGCTTGGCCAGCCCTAACAAAGAGCCACACACCTAACCTTCAACTTTTTAATACCCCATACATTACTCGGGAGGTTTACTTCAAAAACTGCTTCAATTAAAAGGATCCTGGTACCAATGATACTGGACTATCATAACAGAACATTCTCCATTTTTTTTTTTTTCAACAAGTCGGCCGTCTCCCACCGAGGCAGGGTGACCCAAAAAAGAAAGAAAATCCCCAAAAAGAAAATACTTTCATCATCATTCAACACTTTCACCACACTCGCACATTATCACTGTTTTTGCAGAGGTGCTCAGAATACAACAGTTTAGAAGCATACACATATAAAGATACACAACATATCCCTCCAAACTGCCAATATCCCAAACCCCTCCTTTAAAGTGCAGGCATTGTACTTCCCATTTCCAGGACTCAAGTCCGACTATATGAAAATAACCGGTTTCCCTGAATCCCTTCACTAAATATTACCCTGCTCACACTCCAACAGCTCGTCAGGTCCCAAGTACCATTCGTCTCCATTCACTCCTATCTAACACGCTCACGCACGCTTGCTGGAAGTCCAAGCCCCTTGCCCACAAAACCTCCTTTACCCCCTCTCTCCAACCCTTTCGAGGACGACCCCTACCCCGCCTTCCTTCCCCTATAGATTTATATGCTTTCCATGTCATTCTACTTTGATCCATTCTCTCTAAATGACCAAACCACCTCAACAACCCCTCTTCTGCCCTCTGACTAATACTTTTATTAACTCCACACCTTTTCCTAATTTCCACACTCCGAATTTTCTACATAATATTTACACCACACACTGCCCTTAAACAGGACATCTCCACTGCCTCCAACCGTCTCCTCGCTGCTGCATTTACCACCAAAGCTTCACACCCATATAAGAGTGTTGGTACCACTTTACTTTCATACATTCCCTTCTTTGCCTCCATGGATAACATTTTTTGTCTCCACAAATACCTCAATAGACCACTCACCTTTTTCCTTCATGCCCTCGTCTGCTACATGTCCCTATCCACTGACACCTATATAAGCGCTGGCTTCCTTGCCTACGCTTCAGAATCTATACAACCACGGTGCTCTTCACACCAACTCCATGGCTGAGGGACTGATTACCTCATCTTTTGTATATAGCTCTACTGTCTTCTAGTTATGTCCTAGAATCTACATTGATAAAGCCACTGGATGGTGAAACGTCTACAATAAAGATAACCAGATGTTGCACATGTGTCTTAACTTTCACCATTCTCCTTTGTATGGACTGATGAAGCCACTGTGTGGCAAAACGTTTCCTCATTAAAGATACCCAAGTGTTGCACATATGTCTAATTTATCATTATTTTGTGACTTTACATATTCCACATTAAGTGACTAATGTTTACGAAAACATACAAGCTTACCACACATGCACTAAATGGTCATACACAAAAAAGAAATGAATTTGGTCTGCAATCAACCAAGAAATAAAAAAGTAAAAAAAATAGCATATGCAATATAAAATCATTCACACAGAAAGCAAAGCTGATTCTTACAACACCTGGAAGCAATAAGAGCAGCCTCAGCAGCAATATTGCTTCCAATACAAAATCATATTTCTTTACTTATTTTTCTCAAAAAACAAAAAAAACAAAAATATTGGGACATTAAATAAGATGTCTAAACTGTTACATACTAAAAATAATAAAAGCGGTCAAAAACAAATGAAAATTTTAATTTAAAATTATCATGATACTTCTCCCTTCCTTCCTTCCTTCACAAGCCATCCAGCCTGTCTTTATTTGGATTAAGACAAATTATGATGTCTGAACACATAACTCCCTCCTACTCTTTCCACCCACCCTCCCTCCCTCCCTCCACCCTCCCTCCCTTCACCCACCCACCCTCCAGACACTGTGTCAGAGCACCCAACTTCATGATGAATTAGACATGTGCAACATCTCGATATCTTTATTATGTTGATGTTACACCAACCAGTGACTTTATCAATACAATAAAAAGACATAAAATAAAGGAAAGATTGTAGTCCCTTAGCCTTGAAGAATTTTATACAGAATTAAAATAAGAGAGAGATGCAGACGACTGTACACTGACATTCACTTATCCAAGAGAAGAAATGCCAGCTGCACTAAGCTACATCAATCACCAGCTAAGAGCTATATCAGCTTGGGGAAATAGATGGCAAGTAACATTTGCACCTGAGAAAACGAAAATGATGATGGTCTCTAGGCACCATGATGGTAATGCTGGTGCAGTAGTAAGGATGAATGGGAGGGTGTTGGCACCTGGAGAAGAAGTTGATATCCTTGGGGTGAAATATGACTCCAAACTAACAATGAAGAACCATGTTGTAAATCTTGCAAACAAGGCAGCCAGGAAGCTTACAGCACTTTGCCGTATCTCGCATCTGCTTGACAATAGGGGTTGCAAGATTCTGTATGAGGCACAAGTATGCTCACACCTTGAGTATGCTCCACTTTCTTGGTTTGCCTGCCCCCCCTCTCATCTGCGACTGCTTGACAGAGTAGAGAACAGAGCAAGACGTCTCATCTCTCACCTGGACCCATTCTGGATAGACCTGTCATTTCAGCAGAGCCTTCAACACAGGAGGGATGTGGGTGGCCTTACTGTTATGTACAAGGCCAAAATTGTCAAAGTACCACACTTGGATCCACTTCGAGGACAGCGTGAAACAAGCTTTTATGTCACAAGACGGGCAGAAAGCAGCAACTTCACTCTGGCTGTACCCTTCTCCAGAACATCACTCCATCTGAGATCATATATACCCAGGATGACTCGAGTATGGAACACATTCATACAGCATAATGATGTCAATGAG